AAAAAAAAAAAAAAAAAAAAAAAAAAAAAAAAAGCTCTACAATTAGTTCCTCAGGGGTGATTTTATAATCAACAAAAGTAGAAAGACAACTTGTCATAGTTCTTTTAGTAAAAGAACAATGTTTTACTAGAACTGACTGTAAACAGTTTTATAAAGATAAAATACGTGTAACCATGCAACGCTTATATTCCTTTTGCTTCACTTTTGGTCACAAATGTTTAAAAGACAAAACCTTTCTGTAAGAAAATACGTTTATCAAAAACTAGAAGCTAGCATCTCTAAAATATAAATATGGAGGATATTATCTGTAGCACATCTTTTTTAAACTGTGATATATTTTAATAAGAAATAGCTCATGTATGCATTAGAATAGTATCTAGGCGTTGATTTTCCATATAGTGTTCCCACCGTCAATTGGACTTTTGGACGTATTCTTTCTTTGAAGTATTTGATTAGTTTGAACATACAATTTTTTGTCATGAAGGCTTCCGTGGAAGTAATTTTGAAAAAAAAAAGCGACAACTTTAATTGAGAAAAATTCCTTTCGATTGAGACTATCCCTAAGAAGAAAAGGACTATACAGCAGAATACTCCACTAGTAAGGATCGCAGAACGCATTTTTAATGTTTAATAAAAAAAGCTTATGACTCTAGAGCAAGTAACTAAAGCCGCAGGCATTAACCATGAGAAAAAAATGTCAAGGCAGTCTGTGATCTCTTTGATTCGCTTGCAATGATTAGAGCTTATATTTAAAGTTTCTAATAACAAAACTTTCACAATGTGACTATAAGAACGATTGTAAAGCTATAGATGTTTATTCAGTCTTGAAGGCGTTTTGAACTATCTGTACAGCTGTATCGACTTCTATCTTGGGCTGGTTCAGGTGATTTCTCCATATCTTGGCTGACAAGCCTTGAGAAAGATCACTGTTATCTTGTTGCTCAGTGGCACTGATGAACGCTTCATGGTTGCCTATCATACGCTCTAGCCAAACCTTTTTTAATTTATATTCTTCCTTCTTGACCAAATACTCAGAGGCATTGGGATATAAGAGATGAATTGCTTGACGAATACCCAATCGAAGAACAACATAGATGTGTTCAGATATAAGGATGGCTACTAATGTAAAGATAGGAGTGTAGTAAGAGTGGATGTTTGTAGAAGGATGGAAAAGGTAGGCGAAGGAGCTCATAGTGATGGACGATAACCAGATTAAGGTCTCCATATTGCCTAACCAAGGCCCAATACTCTCCGCACGTAACGGAGTAGGACGTCTATAACATATACATTACCTACTAGTATATTACTACAAAGAGCTCATTACCTTGTATACTTGCAAATCTTGACAGCATCACCACGTAGTTCAATCCAGTTATTAATCAGACAGCATAAAGCAGTAAGTGGCCATACTGTAGAAAACATACTGACATAGCCAAACTTACGATGTATTGTGTGTCAGCAAGGGAATATAATACTCAACCTTTGTATTCTTACCTGGATAACCATCTCTGCATAGTCAATGTAGATATCGTACTCCAGCATTGATACTTCATTATAAACCTTTTCCATAAACTTTACTTCTTCCTCATCATTTTCTGATGCTTCTCTAATTGCCAACTCTTTTGTCGTAGGCATTTCCCTTTTATGTAATACTTTTTCAGATACCCTTTGAGCCTTGGGTTTGATAAGGTTGATTACGTAAGGAACAGCCATTTCAGTTAAAAATCCCACTATTTGGCCAGTAACGACAAAATAAACAAGTTGAGCACGAAGTCTTTGAAAGTCTACTGATTTGTGATCATGACTAATGTTGTATTGAACAAGGTAAGGTAAGACATGGTCTCCAAAGGGGATATAGATCCAAGCGGTAATGAATATGGATAGATAGCCAACAAGGAAATTAGCAATAAATATCTTTTGTGTGTAATAGTATTCATAAGCAGCGCTCGTCTTGTGCATTTCCCAATCATTCAGCCGCTTCATCCATTGACTATATATTTTTGTCATTGTAGGAATCAAGAGAACATAGCCCACTGTAGGTGTATAATGCTAAATGGTATTAGGATTAGCTTCATTTTATTTTACATGATTGTGTATATCTTACCAAGAATTGTTTAAAGGGGCCATTGTAATATTCATGCAAGAATAACTGAAGCATAAACACGAACCCTACGATGATACTCAAAAAAGCCGCACCTATAGTAACACCAGGTATGGACGCTAACCTTCTGATCAATAGTTTATATGTGGATACCACAGGCATATCTTCTCCCGTAATTTCATCCTTAACCCATCTATCACCTTTAAACTCTGTTCTTCTTTTTTCATTCTTTGAATAATTTCGTGCGCCCCATTGAATTGCCAATTGGTTTTCTTTGCGTTTCCATATCTCTATAAACACAATAGCCCAAATGATCATGGCTAGAGAGTACCAGCCTGCCAGCGTATTAGTATGAGTCAAGTAAACAAAGACACCCAAGGATGCAGGTACACTCAGCCATAAGAAGTAATTTTGGAGAAATGCAAAATAGTAGGCAATTTTCTCACCAAAATGGTTTCTTATCAACAATAGATCATTATCATCAATCAACCATTTAGTAGACCAAGACTTTAACCATTTCTAATATAATTATTATTACTACCTATCCTTTAGAACATAGATAGACTTACATCATTCAACTCATCATTATGTAAAGGAATAATGCTTTCCACATATTGGTCTGTTTGAGGCGATATTCCTGCACCACCTTCTTCTTTTGGCTGTGTCATGATTTCATAGACTAGCCTTAAACGTTCAGCCTTTGTCAATTCCTTGAATGTTTGAATGTCCGAAGCTTCATCGATGTCATCTACACGTATGCCTAACAAGAAATCACGTACTCTAAACTGGGAGAATCAATATGTTTGCATAGACAACGTACGTGAGTCCTACCTCTCTCGACGAAACTCCTTTTTAATACATTGAATGGGACTGCTAATGAATATCAACAAAGTATCTGGTTCTTTTCCTGGGCGTATCTGATAACGAAGACCGACCGAGTTCAACCGAGCTGTTAGATCTTTTAGAGACTTTGTTACATGCTGTTCCAGTTGTTGTCTTGATTTATCTCTGCTACTGGTTGGAAACTTGAACTTTATAACATAATCAATACCCGCGTTTTTATTTAAAGTTAATTTTGAAGAAGAGGAAGGTGGTGGCATTGGCTGAACAGGAGGGAAAAGGTGAGAGAAAGTTTGTGGATCATGTCCTGTGCTTGAAAGAAATGTCTCTTGTTTATTATTGTTACTATTAATAATATTATTACTATTATCCGTCATTAGTGAAAAGAAGAAGAACAAAAAAAAAAAGGAATTTTGAAAGAAAAAGGAAAGCGGATTTGAAGCGGCGTTTTATGGCTTTTTTGCTCGCATATAATCTTCTTTACCCAAATCCAAGAAATCGATCAATTTGTGATACAAGAACTTGTAAGCCCAAACATTTCCTTTTAGTCGCTTTACATTGACAATAAACAGTCCAGGCAAGTTTTTAAATCTACAAATCTCAACTAGGAATCTGATCTCCTCTCCATTATCAATACATGCTTCTCCATAGATTGGTTGCAATCTTCCTATTTCTTCTTTACGTTTGGATGCCTTTCTTCTCGTGCATTTCAATACGAATGGACCACCTTCGTTATCTGATATCGCTTCTATGCCGAGAATGCGCAAAATGCAGCTTGCTTCTTGAATGACTTGTTGTGGCGGACGAGAGGTAAGAGCTGTACGGTCAATAGGTCCTTGATGAATCTGAATACGTGAATCACCTGCTGATTCTTTTTTGACAAGAGGAAGCGCGTTACTGCTTAGTGTTCGTCCTCTAGTATTTGTACTGACAGTAGGTTGAGGTACAGCCACGGACACCTTTGGCTGAGCAACTGCCTTCATGACAGCTGTATTTGGTGGTATTACTTCTTTCTTGTATTCGTTTGTCTCTGGGAGCTTATGTGACCTCTTCTTGATCCAATCCATCATCTTCTTTCCTGTTTTCTTTGGTTGCGTTTGCTGCCTATCTGCTGTGTTTGACCAAGTGTTTCGTTGAGACTTTGGCTGCTCTGGGCTCTTTCCAAACAGCGCCAAGTGCTGCATGACATTCTCCTGGCTTGATTTCGTCGGAGGAGGGCTCCTGGTTCTTCTGTAAATGCTTCTTCGTACAGCCGCCATTGCCTTATCGCCAATTCTACGTTTTGCTGTAGAATAGGTGATATCTGGTACAGGTGAGTTACCTGCAGAGGAGGCTACAGATGAGGTATCATTAGAACAAGATAAGCTTGTGCAAGTATACTCTTGGCGGATCATAGAGGTTCGTTTTGGCTGCTGTTGTTGTTGAGCAATGCTTATAGCAAGACGAGAGGAAGGGTCTCTGATTGAGACAGAGCTCTGGGTTGATGAGGTCACACCAGATTCAGACATATTTGACAGTTGGCTGTTATCCTCTGTAAGACGCATAAAAATAGATTTAGGAACTGCATTTTCTTCAATAGCAAGCGAATTGGAAGAATTACCGATGGTGGACGTTTCAGAATGATCTGCTTCTTCAGCTACTTTTGATGTATTGGGAGTTCTGGTGAAGAAGCCCAAGAATCGATCCTTATGCTGATGGATTCGAACGCTACCTAAAGGTTTAGAAGAATCCAATTGTGGCGTTGGAGTTGATAGTGACTTTTCAGGTTGTACTGTATCCATTACTACTTCGGATATTGTAGAAGGAGGTATCATTATCTCTTTTACTGGCTTACGCGTAATAAAACTGGGAATCTTTGAAGACCTTGTTGAGTTGTGACGAGCAGGCCGTTTCTCTAAAATGGGTGGTGTTGTGATAATTAATGAATGTCTATTACTCTCACGTATGGTTGATGCTTTGGCTACACGTTCGGCTGAGTGTTTAGCAAAAAATTCGTTATTGGCAACAGGAGCGAATCGATCGCGATGAGTCGACAGAGGATTCTTTCGCGTCTGGTGAATATCTGTGCTTAAAACAGAAGCTGACTGTTTTGGATGATCTGAAGGCACTGAATCCATACTGATGTCGTGGATCAAAAAGCCTCTATATTCCTCTAGCCAAGGATGCTTGATTACTATATCCAAGGTACATCGCTTTGATGGATCAGGTACCAGCATTTTTTCCATCAAATCACGAGCATCCGGAGAGATGTGTGGAGGAAAGATGAGACGAGTAGATATAATGTAGCGGTACAATTGATTGATATCGTCACTATCAGGATTCGAAGGGTCATCGTCAAAAGGAAGGAATCCAGAGAGCATAGCGAATAGGATGACACCACAAGACCAAATATCTACAGCAGATCCAGCGTATAAACCAGCATTGACGACTAGTTCAGGAGCAGCATAACATGGAGATCCGCATGTAGTAGACATCATATCATCAGCTGCAGTGGAGAATTGGTTTGCGAAACCAAAATCAGTTACAATGATATTACGATTTTTGTCTATTAGTATGTTTTCCTAATATAGATACAAAAAGACAAAAACAGAAAGAGAAAAAGAAGCAAAGATGAGGAAAAAAAGAAGGAGGTATCAATATAAGCTCCTTACTAGTTTTAAATCACGATGAACTATTTTACATTTATGCATATATTGAACACTGCTTATAAGTTGAGCAAAGAATCTTTTTGCATCTCTTTCTTTCAAGTAACGATGTGCCAAGATGTATTCAAATAATTCACCTCCTGTTTAATAACCTGTTATCCTTACTACCTAATATGTACATATGAATTATTACCAGATGCATATTCTAATACTAGTCCAACGTATTTTTCAGTTTCTATAACATTATATAATTTTACAATATAAGGATGACTCAGATTCTACAAGTCAGCATCAGATTAATGTATAATGAAGAGGATCAGCGTACCTTTAGTATAGCAATCTCCCTTTCAACCTTATTGATGCGACTATCGGAGCCAATCCCACCTTTTCTAATTAATTTAATTGCCACCTTTATTTAACAAAAAAGAGAGAGTCAGTTACCCTTTAGTTATCCTGATCAACCCTATTTTACCTCTTCACTCGTTTCCGAATGAACACCTAATTTTACTTTTCCAAATTCGCCTTCACCCAGTGTCTGTAATAAAGTATAGGGTCCTAATTTATTTTGTTTCTTTTGTGTCGGCCTGCTGGGTATATTTGATTTTGTTGCTGATGTTATTGTAGTAACCACCTCTGTCATAGCAATAAAGTGTTAATAAAAAAAAAAAAATAGAGAGAAAGAGAAAAAGAGAGAAAAAGAGAGAAAAAGATAATATAGATGGTATTTGTATATGTTTATGTACATATATAAAGAGACGATAAAAAAAAATCAAGGGGTGCAAGATGAAGCAGCGTGTCTTTCAAGGAGTTATTATGCTGACATATTGGCGCCTTTTTTTTTTTGTTTCTTTTATATTTGATAACATAGAAAATGTAAGAGAAAGCTTAAGCCACGATAACAAATGAAGCCCTTTTTTGTAATAAATGAGATATAAAAGCAAATTGACGTAGAAAGTTACGTAAAGATTAGTCATCATTCAAATAAGGAGGATAGTTTAATAAATGAACAATTACTTGTAAATAAGCCCAGTCATACATGCATATATTTACATCGTTCTTTGTAGCATCTACCTTCCGCGTACGTTTCGTATTTAACCAGGTTGACGCCATAGCTATATGACATATAAGGAAGGTCACATGTATTAACAAAGATAGATGTTTATTTAAAGATGTATTATGTTTAACATATAGGAAAGCAATTGTAAAGCCAATGTTTTGATTGGGGTATAGAAACATCGGTTATACTACTATCAATGCTATTACAATCATCATCTATATTACACGACGATGGATTATAGCCCTTCTCTTTCAATAGTTGATGTGTCCAAAGTAAGTAAAGGCTTTCATTATCATCATTAGGACTAATTGTAGACGCAGTAGAAGATGAAGACCCTAATATATTCAATTGCACGCGCGCATGAGTCATTTATGTATAACAGAGATGCATGTGCCATAGTTACCCAACGATATTGCACCATATTGACTACGGATAGGTGATGATTTACTATCATTATTAATAATACATTCTGATATTTGGCGTTAATAGACGAACTAATGCTGTTCAATATCTTTTGCATACCTTCTTTTTGATCTCTTACTATCAAAAATGATAATGCTGAGGAAGGAGTAGGTGGTAATTCTTGATAGAAAGTCTTAAAAAGAGATAAAGGAAAGCATTAATCGTTTGTTATCTTTCCTTTTCTTTTCTTTTTTTACTTTTTCAGGATCTCTTGTTTGTTCAAGTAATGTAGAGTTTGATATAATAGACATAATAATTAAATGTGTATATTTACAGTGATAAAGATAAAACAAAAAAGAAAGAAAGATAGAGTATTTATAATTGAATTATTGCATTTATAGAGTTCTTTTCTTTTTTTCTTTTTTTTATTTACACAGTCGGCGATTGTAATCTGTAAATACGTACTGCGTTCGTAACAAACAGTTTTTGCTTATCTTCATTTGTCCAATGATCTACGATGTCGCTCAGGACCTCAAACCATTCTTGCCAAGACGCAGCCAAGGTACACATGGGCCAATCACTTCCAAACATAAGTCTATCTGGGCCAAAGCAATCTCGAGCAACTTGAATAAATGGTGTCAGTTGCTTGGTCATTGCTGCTTTACTTCGCTTATGCTCCTTCTTCAACTCCGTTAGCAAGCCAGATAATTTGCAACACACATTCTCATAGCGAGCCAATGCTTCCATTTCAGACTTCCAAAATTCAAACGCTGCTTCTCCCGGTTGACTATCACATGGAGGTTTAGCCATGTGATCAAGCACAAATTGAACAAGTGGGCATTGACCCACTAACTCTTTCAGTGGTGGAAACTGTTCTGGACAGTCATTACAGTTGATGGTTAAATCAAAACTCAGATTGTGCTGTCCGAGTATTTGTACACCTTGAACAAAATCAGGATGACACACTCTTTTGGGATCACCTGACGAGTCTTGGATCAAATACCTCACTCCCTTCAGCTTTGTTCCAACGAGTCGTATTAGTGTACGCAAGTACGAGCTCACATGCCTACCCTGATGTACAGGTGCAAACGCAACAATCCCGCCGATTCCCCCAAAAGTAGCACTGGCTGTTAAACTGTCTGCATAGCGATTGATCCATTCAGCTTCCACTAATCCATGATGTGAATCCACATTTGTTTCAACATAGATAACATAATGAACACCCACTCTTTTCGCTTCCTGGGCATATTCCTTGGCGTCCTTATGCTCGGTACCTGATATCCAGGGTATATACACTTCATCTGGGTGCCAAAAATGAACGTGAGCGTCAACGACCGGTTGAATCGTCATGATGATTTCAAATAGACTAAGAAAAGGAAAGGAGTAGAAAACTATTTATTTTTTTCTGCACAGCTAACACATTCAACCTGTTTCTCTTCAGCGTGCGAATTACGTTTTTACCAAATTAGGTAAATCATGATGTCAAAATGTCCATTTAGCAACTTTATATGGAGGGAAAAATAGAAAAGCTTAAGTATTCGGTGAAACGCTTTCTGTGTCTATGTTTATATGATATCTTGCAGTAATCTTCATAACAAAGAAAAATAAGATATAGAGATCTGTTTTTAGTAGAAGTACTTAGTCTTGGCTAGCCTTCGTCTCTTTTAAAAGCTTTGTCATAGTATACCATATCATAAGAGGTTTTACATATCTCTGACGTTGATCACTACGACAACATTCGAGTATAGTAAAATCCAGTTATATGCATCGCATTAAATGAGAATAAATATACAAGGAGACCACGTTAAATATAAACAAAAGATGCATATTTATACATAATCAGTCAATCGATCTCTCTGCTGCTTCAGTTCGCCCCTACATCCATCCAAGTATCTCAATAAAGAATGAGAGTACAAGCTATCAGTTTCGAGAAAAGTTGGCTATCATATTATCGAAGCAAAAGGATCAGCAGTTATGGGCACACGGAGCTCAATCAATACTACTAAAAAAAAAAAATGACAGTAAAAATTAATAGCACAATCAGTTATTGACTAGAGTTCCGAATCCTCCACCAGCAAATAGAAAATGGAAAAATAAATAACCGAAAATGGTAATCTATGTCTGTAAAAGTAATTACGCTGGAGTAGACAGGTTAAGATAAGGAAATGGTCCGACCAGCTGTACCATTTCCATTTATTATCTCCCTTCACATTGTACACTCACATATATGCATACCCCCTTCCTGGTATGCTCAAAGCGATCTTGGCTCAGTTTACGGCATTGAATGTTGGTTCTAGTATCTATTCGACTTTATTGCATTCCATAGAGAATAGCATCTTACTAAGACTTGTCTAATAAAGCTGTAAGTATTTTAAAGATGAGAACCAATAACAACAATTGCTACTTTGAAGGAGAAATAACTGTGAATATTAGAAAAAGCGATGCCTTGTGTTTATTATTATGATTATTTTCTAACTTTATGTGAATAGAACCGCAACCATTGCAAACAGCGCAGATGCGAAAAAGACACCACCGGATTGGATAATTGCAGAAACTAAGGAGAAGGAAGATAATGGTGACGATGAAGATGAGGCATTGGTTGAAGGGCCGCTAGCTGAAGGAAACCCAATAGGACTATTAAAGTTGGGTGCAACATTTGCACAGGTTTGAATGTCGTGTCGTTTTGGTACTACTTCCTGTCCAAGGCCTTCATTCTGACAAGACTTGGTTTGCATTGCTTGCAAATTGTACAACCAGCTCAACTTGTCTCTAGGAGAACAGAAAGAGAAAGCACCATATTCTCCCTTTTCAGCATCACCGCTGATATCGGCGCATGACGTGATTCCACACATAATGTCCAATTGAGCTCCAATAGTAGAATTACCCACCTGTCGAGAGGCAGCTTCGACCTTGTCAGAGGCAACACATCCAAGGTTTTCAACCATACATTCGCATGCCCCGTCCGAAGGCGTAGGTGGAAGTTGGGCTGTCGCTTTCCAGTTTTCAGAAATCTCCGGACAGGCCGATGCGGATCGTTGCTCGTTATAGTTATCCATATGCACTCCCTTTGGCTTAGCATTGAGCATTTGGGCCTGCAAATTGTGATAATCTTGCAATTCTTCAGCTTTGCCGTCTCCGTTGATCTTTACTAAGCCATATTTATTGTTTTCTTGTGTCCACTCGTAAACAACGCCTCCAGACCAAACGTTTGTCATCTGTGGTCCATATATTGCTGCAACTTCAGCAAATTGTCGCGGTGTCACCAAATTACAACCATATTCGGATAAAAAGACAGGTTTGCTATAGGCTTCAAACTCTTTTGTACGTTCCTTATATCCAGACTTTTCAAAACTTGAAGCTCCACACCATTCATACAGATTGATACCAAAAAAGTCAGCCTGCCAAAGAACGATCAATGCAAAAGATCTCTTTATATACATATATATATTTACCTGAGTGTCTTCGTCTCCACAATTGAAATAATCTTTGATGGGATCACGGATAAATTCATCATCATTACTTGCATAACCTACAGGAATTTGTCTATTGTGAGTTGATTGAATGTACTGTTTAATATCTCGAATCGAGGCTTTCACATAAGCAGATGCCGGCGTATTGGTTTTGTCGTTTGTCACTTCATTTCCTGCAATAAATGCAAGTAAATTATTATATTTTGCAAACGCGTCGACAGTTAATTTGTAAGCATTATAAAGATGAACGGTGTATTCAGGTGCCTTTCGATTGATTGAGTAGTGAGGTGTGGCAATATCGAGTAGTAGATAGATTCCTGCGTTCGCAAATGATTTCATACATGCATCGTGGTCACGTCTAGGGTCAACCTATATATATATTAGTTTTCTATAGCTTGTTGTATGTCTTCTTTAGAAAGCTTGCCTCATAGACACGAAGGACATTGGTACCTAGTTTGGCCATCAGTGGAGCATCTCGAGCACAAGCTGCAGGATCAGCCAAGGGATCCATTGTGCCATCTTTGACTTGTCCTCTGGGTTGATATGCTACACTAAAATACGCAGATCAGTTAATACGGATGATTATATGCCAAAAATAAAAAGACGTGATACCCTTTGATAAAAAATTGCTCTTTTGTAACAGAATCAAAGAACTTGGTTCCTTTGATCACAATAGGGTTTAGTGCAAAACTCAAACCTACTGTGAATAATAGAGCGATAATAACCGAGATCTTCATGTCAAAGATAATGAAAAAGTAAAGAAAAGTAGAGAGAGCCAAAGGTTATTTTATTTCCGGGATTTTTTAACGTCTGTGATGAAAGAATGTTATGTCAGGGGAAATACTTTGTAGGCGTAATATCAATGGAATGGACTATTGAACAATAATGGCCTTTTTTAATTAAACGTGATCCAACAGAAAGTAAAGGGGTCACCTTCTCTTTCTTTTTCTGCCTTGTTAATATTCACAATGTAAACAGAAACGTGGCTTTAGTAGCCACAGCACAAGCATACATCCCCCTTTTATCACCCCTGAGGTCGTCATCTTTCATATGTCTTTTTTAATCAATCATTTTTTATTACACAATTATACAAAACATACGCTAGTTTTTCTTAAATTAGAAATCAAAATATTGGTTTTACTGATTAGCAAGTTCCTTGGCGAGCTCTTCAGCACGCTTTTGAACGTCGTTGATATCACCTTGCATGTAGAAAGCGTTTTCAGGCAAGTTATCGTGCTTACCAGCCAAGATTTCCTTGAAGGAACGAATGGTATCTTGGAGCTTGACGAGACGACCTTCGTAACCAGTGAAGACTTGGGCAACAGCGAAAGGTTGAGACAAGAAACGTTGAATCTTACGAGCACGCTCGACAACGAGCTTATCTTCTTCGGACAATTCATCCATACCCAAAATGGCAATGATATCTTGAAGAGACTTGTAGTTTTGAAGGATTTGTTGAACTTCAGTGGCAACCTTGTAGTGTTCTTCACCGACAATACGAGGATCCAAGATACGAGACTTGGAATCAAGAGGATCGACGGCAGGGTAGATACCCAATTCGGCAATGGAACGAGACAAGACAGTGGTGGCGTCCAAGTGAGCGAAAGTGGTAGCAGGAGCAGGATCGGTCAAGTCATCAGCAGGGACGTAGACGGCTTGGACGGAGGTAATGGAACCGTTCTTGGTAGTGGTAATACGTTCTTGCATACCACCCATATCAGTAGAAAGGGTGGGTTGGTAACCGACAGCGGAGGGGATACGACCCAAAAGGGCAGATACTTCAGAACCAGCTTGAGTGAAACGGAAAATGTTATCAATGAAGAGCAACACATCTTGACCTTCTTCGTCACGGAAGTATTCAGCAATGGTCAAACCAGTCAAGGCAACACGGGCACGAGCTCCAGGGGGTTCGTTCATTTGACCAAAGACAAGAGCACATTTAGAGTCACCATCGAGCTTAATGACACCAGTTTGGATCATTTCGTGGTAAAGATCGTTACCTTCACGAGTACGTTCACCGACACCACAGAAGATGGAGTAACCACCGTGAGCCTTGGCGATGTTGTTGATCAATTCTTGAATCAACACAGTCTTACCGACACCAGCACCACCGAAAAGACCAATCTTACCACCACGAGCATAAGGAGCCAACAAATCGACGACCTTGATACCAGTTTCAAGAATTTCGGGAGTAGGGGATTGGTCAACGAATTCTGGAGCATCAGCGTGAATAGGACGTTGAGCCTTGGAGTTGATGGGACCACGTTCATCAATGGGTTCACCAATAACGTTGATGATACGACCGAGGACTTCCTTACCGACAGGAATGGTGATAGGGGCACCAGTGTCAACAACCTTTTGACCACGGACAAGACCTGAATTGATTGGTTAATATGTCTCCACTATAAGCACAATTTTACTTTACCTTCAGTACCATCCATAGCAATAGTACGGACAGTGTTTTCACCCAAGTGTTGAGCAACTTCGAGGACAAGACGTCCACCAGCGTGATCTTGAACTTCAAGAGCGTTCAAGATGGCAGGTAAGTTTTCTTGTTCGAATTGGACATCGACAACGGCACCGATGACGGAACTATCGATACAAATTAGTTGTTGTTCTTTCTTTTCTTTATCTTTTTATTCATCATCTCTTCGTCCTTACCGAATTTTACCGGTGGAAGCAGCAGTGGCGTAGGCACGAGCTAAGTTGATTGCAAGTGTTATTAGATTTGTTAATTATCTGCATGTTTCAAATTTACCAGCACTAGGAAGACGGATGGTGCTTGAAGCAACGCGACCAAGAGCACGAGAAATAAACATTGCTTAAATACCGAAAGGAAAAAGGGGTTAAAGACGGTTACGGTAAAAAAGGCTTATTTACAAAGAAGAAAAAAAGAAACCCTGCCCAAAAAAATATTTACTCAAGAAAAGGGCGGGGGCCACGGAGAATGAAAAAAATTAGCTACTCTGAAGCGCTAGGGGGGTTGTGTTATCCTGATGTTAGGCGCACGCCCTAAGAAACACATGGCACTCACTTAAATCACCCCAGGATTTTTTGATTGGATAAAATAATGATGACGTTAGTATTTTCTTTTCGAATCAGAATAGAATAAGATATTCACAAGTACAAAGGGCCAAAGCAACTGGCTATTTAATAGTACTGGTTAAAGCACTCGATTAAATGCAGCATTCTTAATCCAATATTACAGTTATTATTAGCATAATCTGCAAGAATCGATCAAATGTTCAATGCTGCGTTGACGTCTTGGCTCCAGACCTGTCATTGGATAGAGTTGACAGTATTAAAATAGAATAATCAATACCTGACTAGCTGTAACTAAGCAAAAGTAACTTACCAAGTTTCCACCATAAGCATTACTAGCTTAACATTGTTTCCAAAGTTTCAAAGGATATGTAATGAGGACATAGCTTATTTTGTAAATGATTAGGTTAGAACATAAACTTTAAGCGTTCGAAGTTTGGCAGATATATCTATTTACGTTTTATCAGGACAGAGACTAGATCGATTAATAATGCTATTATTATCATTTACACACCATTTAACACAATTTTTGACTGTTCTCCGTTTAATCATCTTTTTTCTAAGAACTAAATCGAGATCAATATCTTGTACAGTTATGTATATAAATAATATTTGCATACTTATGATTACAATCAAACCCTCTTTAAGGCACAGCAATACCCTCTAAATCGTTTTTTGCAATGGCTGCAAACCCTTGACGTCCTGTATTCATCAACTAGTATTTATATCCTTTTTTTTTTGATAAGTGTCTGCATAATTTCTATTGCCTGTATTAGATATTATTACATTTTTTTGTAAATTCATTTTATCTTGGAGGGTATAGGAGTAAATGAACGCATAAAGCTTGGAAGACTTGCGCCGCCATATGCAAATATGGCTCTCCTATGGTGTTGATCTTGAAATCCAGTATTCCTACGATATAGCTGTCTCTCCTTTTTTCGTCTTCTGCTTGTGCTCGAGTTACATAGCGGTATGGCTCGTTTCGTAAGGCTCTTTGGCATAGAGCATTCATAATATGATTTAATGTTTGTTGTTTATTGCTATATAAATGTTCTTTCCTTTCGCGATGCTCAAATCCTTTCATGAAAGGAAAAATACTAATGATAATAAAAGTTTAAGTAAGGATATTCTAAAGATAGAAAACGATTTATACAACTTACTGAACATGAGATATTGATATGATTTGTATGTAGGATAGAATATTTGAACATTCTGTGACATTTGGGCTGTGAATCATGCCATGCCATCCTTGTATTCATGAGAACCGTATTGACGCCTCTTATTCAACTCGACCTGTGTAGACCAAGCAAAGCCAGAACATACCCTAAAATTAAGTAATGAAAAAAAAAAAGGTTATTAGTGTACCTTCGTGCACACTCTGTGTAAATGTCTTACTAGTAATCGACGTTATGTATTGAAAAAGTATGTTCTTTAGTTGTCTGCTTATTGATTATATGCTCATGAGATACATAAACAGCTATGACCAAAACACGAAAACGTACATAAAGGCGGTGTGTAATTAGTTTTTCTTTTGACTCGTATTTTCTGGCTTGTATATAGGTACCTCTTTTTCAACTACTGATATTAACAGAATCTGGTGCACATTGTTCATCATCATTAGTTTCTAGAAGCCTTCTTATTATCCATAAAACCAATGCAATATAAAAGTATTAGCACATACGCAGTAAGAGTGCTTCAGATATTTGGCTTACCAATAGTTTTCGTCGAGAATAGAACAGACACCATGTGTCCGTCAGATGAAATACTGTAACCCAGTGTGATCTTGTTTTTTTCATTGTTCGTATTTATAGCTAAACATTACAATATGTCATGAATATTTACAATATCAAAAGCTAGCAATAGGCAATCTTACAGTTTTGTTTTCTTTGTCTGTTTTTCTGAAGATGGTCGATATTGAATACATGTTCCCATAGTGTCTCTTTGCTCTCCGCGTTATAGTTGTTACCGAATGCTGTTATTGGCATTAGATCCAGGTAATACTAGTGAAGTGAATTTTTATTAGTGATATTATGACGTTATGTATTTCAAAAATATAATCTGCTATAATACCTTATTCGTATTCACATCAAATTGCTCCACTAATAAATTTGCAGGGACAGGATATTCTGCCTCCTTACATCGTCTGAACAAATGATACATAGCCATGTAACCAGCTAGAGAAACATAAGCTTAATATAAGGTAAAAAAAATTAGCTTTAGACAAAGGTAAAAATTGATATCAACTATTTAGCGATTCCATGCTTTGCTATAGATAGCAAACTCCAAGTTAGAAATTCAAATTGTAATCCACTAAAATTAGTTGCTTCCCTTAAAAGTGTGGCACTGAAGCGTAAAAGGTTGCGTGAATTTGTGAGGGCAAAATCATACGAGAAAATTATGTCAAATGAAAGATCTCTAAATACACCATAGGATATACTACAAACTATCCTAAAAGTAAGGAAGTAGTTTAGTATTATGCCTCTTCTGTATAAGCTTTTAATCTGAAATATATACCCGTTTAATTCATAGGTAACAGGAAGAAAGGGCGTCGAATGTGCAAATGTTGGCGATCTGTTTATAATACTATTTGCTACGAGATTTGCTGAAAATAAAGAAATTGCAGTAAGCTATCGTTGATCGAAAGATGTTTGCACTTTCTAGCCTATTTACCAACATTAGACACATTTATAGGTGATCGAGTTTGTGTTTTATATTCCAAGAAATATCCCTTGAAAACTACAAAAATATTTCTTCTAATGACAACTTCTTTGTTCAAAAGAATAAGGTTTATTAAACGCAGTATAGTTTATTCCGAGTCAAATCGCAAGTAGTTTGTATATAAAAAGAGAACGTAAAATAGGTACAGTAGCAATTTTGTATAAAACGTTTTCTAAAAACATATACTCAAGAGTAAATATTCTTAAGCTTGTTATACTCGTTTGATTCAAGGGAGTGCCATGTCATGTGCTTGTTAACAAAGACTTGACAGTATAACAAGCTTCTTCATCGATATATACCTTCTGCGCCATATCTTCTAATGGCAGCTCATTGATCTCTTCTGCTGCAATAATTCTCTTTATTGCCTCTCTAGTCTCTGAGCTAGTATGTCCGATATTAACTGCCATCCTTGCAGTATTGTGCATAAAATCTGTATGAACGTCATCAACCAAGTTAAAGATTAAGCGGTTCTGTCTTCTATTCCTCTTTCTTTGTAAATAATTTGTCTTCAATTGGTTATGTCAACTCTCAATATAGTTGTTCGTTTCCATATTGTTGAAAATCTGTAGTTGGTAAGCAGCAGACTAATGCACGAACCTATAATCAATAAGGTGCATTTGGATAAAGCGAGCCATGAAATCCGTATGCACTGAAAACTCCTGTTAGAAATGTAGCAGTTTCTGGTTGAACATTTGGGTTGAACTTTCCCACATCAAACTCTTAAGAGCTGTTATCATGTCTCTATGAACAGCATTGTTAGCAGAGACGCTTCCTAACTTGACTTTCTTGCGGATTTGATCTATCCAGGCTCTGCTGACATGGGAAAGACACCATTGTAAACTGACAACAGAACCAAAGACTCCTGTAATGACTGCATGTTCAACGGCAGAAACTATGGTTGTTATTTCCCTTAAGCAAGGAAGTTGTTGATCGGGTCCAAGGTTCTTGATAAATCTTAAAAAGCGTGTGATTGGAATCATTGAATGACCATTAGTAAAGAAAAAGGCAACTGGGCAACCACTTCTTGTAATGGAATATCTAACAACAATGTTATATAATATAACATTGGCTATGTTAGACACACAATGTGTAGCTTCCAGGCAAAATGATTCAGCTCGAATTAGTTGCTGTCTTTGCCATGGAGAAACAAAGCCGAATGTATAGCTCTGTTCTAAATTTTGAGCAATATAGATAAAGTAACCTCGTTGTTGCTGAAGATTTTTCAACCAAAGCTTGATCGATTCTTTCTGTTCATTGTGTTTTTTATACGATAGTTCTTGAACCTTTTTATATATGTTGTAAACATCTTCTGAATGGACAAGCTAATCACGATGTACAGCACACACTGAAGAGGAAGAAAAACTAGCAGCTTCAGGAAAAAGATCTCCTAACCTTTCATTAAAATGACGTTGAATTGCAGCTCTTATGTCTCTTCTACCATAGTCTTCACGTAACTTTTGCAATATAGCTTCCTCCGTATTTTCCGATTAAGGCAAAAAAGAGATATCACCAAGACTTCCAATAGGATGATTATGCTCATTATGAAGCTTGATGGTGACCTGATTAGGTGTTACAAAATAGCAGGTGACAGTAACATAGCGTCTGCAGTCGATCTTCCTGCTTGGTTTCTGAATTGGCCGGCTTTTAGATGATTCATCTTCTGTCTGTATACCAGCACGACTCTTATAGGTCCTAGATCTATGGCATATGTACTTAATTTTCCAAATGATACTTCTTCTTGTTACGCGCTTTGGCATAGACTGATCTTCTTCGTTTAAAGTAGACATATCACCACTCGTCTTTTTCTTATAAATCCAACATACTACATGATGAGCAGGTGAATTTTCAATGATGTTTTTCCCAGAGTCAGTATCAACAGTAATTTCTCTAGGAAAGGGTGTGTATTGCTCTAAAACTAAGCTCTCAGACATGATTACTATTCTTTTATAAAAGGGGAATAAGTGGAAGAAAAAGCTAAAGGAGAACTAAAGAGAAATAAAGGATAATTAATGATCACAGCATCAAAGAATAAAGAATAAATAGCTACGCGAAATTTTAAAGTTCAGAAAGGGGCAGAATCGCAACCTGTAGCAATACGTCATCAATTAAACGGGTGCACCCCCGCTGCCAGCACGGAATTTTTTTCAAAGTCCTGTCCCAAGCTTAATATCAAAAATGGACTGAAAAAAGGGCTTTTCCCTTTCTACTAGAATTTTTTTAAAGAATGAACGTTCTCGCCAGATCTGCTCGCGCTACCATCAAGTCTGCCCGTTTGGGTAAGTTGTCTATGCATTATATTGAAATGTATACTGACATTTCAAATTAGCTCGTTTCTATGCCTCTGAAGCTCCTGCTTCTACTGAAGCCCTTCGTTTGACCTTTGTTGTTCCTCACAAGGTATATCAACACACATGCACATATATATATACACCAACAATGACGTTCGATTTAACATTTGGACTCATTATAGGCCATCTACAAGGGTACCACTGTTCAACAAGTTAACTTGGCCGCCACTTCTGGTGACATGGGTATCCTTGCCAATCACGTTCCTTCCATTGAACAATTGAACCCTGGTATTGTCGAGATCATTGAAAGCGCTGAAATTACCAAGAAGTTCTTTGGTAAAATAGATACATTTGATTATTAAACTTGACTAACCATACAAACAATTAGTCTCTGGCGGTTTTGCTACTATCAACCCCGATAGCTCTCTCAACATCAATGCTGTTGAAGCTGTTTCTCTTGATGAACTCTCTCTTGAAGTAAGATATATATATATATATATAAGCACATAACTGAGGAGAAATATTAACATATCTCTTATTTTAGCGTGTTCAAACTGCCCTTGCTGAAGCTCAACGTAATGCTGCTAATGCTGCCTCTGAAAAGGAAAAGGCCATTGCCAAGATTGAAGCCGATGTTTATGAAGCTCTCCAAACTGCTTTGACCAAATAAATTTATTTAAAGTCGTTAATTGTATAATAAGGGAATCCGTGTCAATAAAAGAAAAGCCCTAGGTGTCTTTGTTCAAACAGCATTGTTAATATTTATCAGTGTACGAAGTGCCTAGAAGAAGACTGATTGTATAATGCTATTGTGTCAATAATTTTCAAGACGAGGACCCTATTTGTAAAACAGAATGCCAGTTTGGCCTTAGCTGGCTCAGCTATACGGTTAAACAGTCTTTTATTTACAGTTAAAGCCTCAAGTGGGCGCACGATAATAATAATACATCTTCTTCGTCTGAGGCAGGTCAAAAGAGAATAAAGAATTGGAAACTAAAAAACTCTTATGGGATCAAGGGTAAAAAGGTTGTGGAAGAAATAATGTTGGACTAAGTGTAAGATACACTAGTGAGGGGAAGGAAGAAGCCAATCAAGGATCTTTTGCCCAAGGTGAGGGGGGCGAAGAAGGCGGACGCTTTTGGTGATGGAGGTAGTCAAGTTCAAAAAGAAGAGTACAGATAGCTGGCCAACGGATGGTCCATGAGAAAGCGGTTTGAAAGGAGCGTGGTTTCTTTATAGGTAGCATGTTCAAAAGGAAGGGTAATAGATCAGAAATTATTTCGGGTATCATAAGTCGGCGGTGCATCTGGAGACAATGAATGGTGTGGGCTTTGGTGAAGGATTGGTTGGGGTGCTGAGGACAGGTTTTGTCGTGACCATTGGGAAGCCAACCAAGGCGCCAACGTATACAGCGACTTCTCTCAGATCTGGTCATTGGTAGCCAAAGGATAGGGTCTAGGGAGATAGTCGGGCGACAGTGTATAAGAAGAACAGAGGCGTACGTAGAGCGTTTGTGATTGAAGTTACCTTGGCGGTACTTCCTTTGCATCAATCGTAATAAGCGGCGATCAAAGAATTCTGGGTTTGGTGAGTATAGTTTTCAAATGGGGGACCTATAGAGCTTATACCATTGGGAATGACTTCTAGATTGGCGGATCAATGGGAGAATATGAGAAAGTAGTGAATTATCTGGGAGGGTATGGGTACGTAGAAGGAATTGGAACTGAAGGAAGTAAGCGCGTTCCTGCATGGTTGGTAGGTTTGCCAGGTGTAACATCACTGTTGCGGAGGAATTATGCGAGTCCCCAAAGATTCAACGTATGCAGGTATTCTGAGCGTCATCTATTTATTTGCTAAGGAAGTAGCCTTGGTTAACCTGTTATACAGTATTTCCAAAATTATTGATACTGATGCCAAGAGTAAAATTCGCGCTTGTTAAATTCTAATGTCACTTAAATGTCGTATATGTAGAAGCATTGTCGTACAAAATATATGTATATTAAGTGTCAAAGCATTGTCAGTTCTCTTTTTTCTTCTTTTTTTTTTTTTACTCCTTTTCTCATTAAAAGCCGAGTGTTATAATATGAGCTTTCAAATTTTCTATGAAGACGGGCACGGTAATGCAGCTGATGAATACGGTAGGCCTGAGCCTATGGACTACAATATTGATGAAGAGCGATATGCTTTAGAAACAGTTAGCTCACACACCCAGTATTTGCATAATCAGCCTCAGGAGAATAATTTCGTCGTAGCCTCTATGGCAGATGAAGATGCAAAAAATGACCCAGATGTTTGCATGAAGGAGGCATCGAGTAAGCGAGCGTACACACTCTATACGGATCAGGACAAAGTTAGATTCTTTAAACTGATGTTTGAGAAAGTTATGGGTGCCTCAGCTGATGCGAAAGAATTAGGTATTCATTTTCGCACAGCTTAAAGATAGGCTCAAATGTACAAAACTGATCCTGATAGTGTTTTTATAAAGCATAAGAAAACCGGTCGCTCGCGTATACTTCAAGAACACAAGCAGGTGATCTTGGAGTACATAGATGAGAGTCCTTTAGCCGCCTTGGAGCAAGTAATGGAGCGACTACTTCAAAAGTTTCAGGATCTCAAGGCCTCTAAAAGCACTGTCTATAATTTTGTAAGAACTGAATGTAGTTTGTCATTCAAAAAAAGCCCAATTTTCAGCCTGTAAATAGGAACAGTGAAGAAAAAATTCAGGAGCGTTTCGACTGGGTTCGTAAGTGGGGGGGGGGTTTACGAACATGGACTTTAGAACTAACTGCGTCTTTCTCGATGAGTCTGCATTTCATATTAATTTGAAACGTAGTATGGCCTGGTCAAAAAAAGGATTGCATGCTGCGGTTACAGTGCCCAAAACCCGAGCACAAACAACAACGATTTTAGGTACGATCTCTGCTTCAGAATTAATAAAGTATAGCCTGAGATTACCGCAGCCGTCAGCCAAGAAAAGAAAGAGAGAAGGTTATGTTGAGTTAACGAGCACAGGGACAGTAACTGGTCATTATTTTAGCTTTCTGAAGGCCATGATGGATGAAATAGATCAGTACCCACATATGAAATGGTATTATTTTGTTATGGATAGCGCTATAAGACCTCAAATCCCAGAATCCTGACGTCGTTCAAGTTGAGCAAGCCCTTTCTCAACAGCCAAGCAGCACCGTATCCGTAGAAGACTTTGGCCGCTTCCTTCAAGCCAGATCTTAACAGTCTGCCGTTCTCAGTCTATTCTATGGACACACCATCAAAAACCATGATAATGGATACCCTCCCTTTCGTAAGGTCCGTCTTTCAGCGTACTTCAACAAACAACGTGCCGATCAAAAGCTTATTCAAGACTTACGCGCCAAGTTTAGAGAAGACTCCGTGTTTATGATGGGAAACTGGTCCGCTCCCCATGCTAGGTATCATGAGCCCATTCGTGGTCTTGGTTTCCGAAGACTCCTCAAGAAGCATGGGTTCCAAGTCTATCTTATAGACGAGTCCAAGACCAGTAAGTGCTGTCCAACATGCCACAACGAAAGCCTCCGCACGCTCCGTCGTGTTCCAAATCCACGGCCTTTTAAGGTAATAATACATTAACCACTTAGATGACTTTATATTGATTGAACATTGTTTGTAGATGCACCAACCTATACTGTAGACCCACCATGGCAGTACCAGATAGATATCGTTTATGGAACAGGGATGTTGCTACTTGCCTCAACTATATGCACATTCTTCGTGGGCTTCGGCGTAATGGCATGGTTCCTCATAGGTTTCGCCGGGTTGTTGTTGCTCCTACAAGACGTCGAAGAAGAGTGGACGATCAGGAGCAACCAAGAACTAGAATACGCTTAGACAATGATTCTCCGTCGTAGTTATCGCTAGGACACATCTAGATGCCTTCGGGGTAAGTTATATATAGTAATTTTCTTGCATA